TACAGGATAAAACTCCATTAGGAAGAATAAGTAATGAAGCTAAAGAAGAAGATAAAGACCAAATTGGACCATTTAAAAAATTTCCCAATGCAACTAATCCAGAAACTGGAGAAATAGGTGGACCTACTGGGCCAGAACCAACTCGGTATGGAGACTGGGAACGAAAAGGAAGAGTAACTGATTTTTAACGGTATACTTTTTATTTGCAAAACAAGACAATATCTTTTAATAACCTTTAATTAATATCTTTTAATATTTTCATATGTTAAGTGTAATTTGTATTAATTTTCCTAACATTTGTTTTATTATTTTTATTTACTTTTTTTTTTTTCTTTTCTTAATTTAACTAATTTTTATAATGACCATGTTACTATACTTACAAATGGAAGAAAAATAAAACAAAATCTCACAACAACAATGCAACCGAATACAAGAACATAATCTTAGATATATAGACAATGAAAAAATTAAGTTATATAACAGGTCAGGTTCATCAGGTCATGATCCCACATCAGGTTAAGGATCATAACAATCACCCTGCTACCAGGCTTGGACAGAAGCAGCATGCAAGCACACACTGTAACTGACTATGCTTATTTTCATTACAATTTGACCATGGCTGATATGATGTTTTAACTATTAAAATACAATTAAAAAATTGTTATGTTATGAATAACTTTTAATCATTGATCTTTTCTAAAGTTTTTTTTTTTTTAATTTTTTTTTATTTTGAAGATTTAAAAATTGCTATGATGATTGTTTAAAACACATTTTGTGTAAATTAAACAAAGAATTATTATATTAATTTTTATTTTTTTTAATTAACACATTTTGTGTAAATTAAGCAAAAAAATATATTCTTTTTTATGTAGGCAGGCATTTTTTATGATAATTTTTAAATGTTTGAAACTATTTTTCCATTTCTTTCTGAGAATTTTTCAAAACATTTTTTTCAAGTTACTTTTAATTATGAATAAGTTTTTATAAATCTTGCTGTTGCAATGAAATGATTTAATTGCTTTATTTTTTTTGTTTCTATTTTTATAAAGATTTGTTTAAAACTTTTTTTTTTTTTTTTCACTTGACCTACTACTAATCAGAGCATGAAATGATTGAAAATTACTGTTTTAAAAAGACTACATTATTTTTTTAAACAAAAAAAAATAGCGTAGTCTTTTTTTATGCGCAACTTTTTGGAAAAAATGTTTATACAATTTAAAAATATTACATTTTTTTAAATAACTTAAATCAATTTTGTTCATTTATTAGACAATCAGAAGAAATTTGTAAAAGCATTTTGCATAAACTTAAACAAAACGTTTCAAAAAATAAGTTTTAAAGAAATTTTTAAGCGTGAAATGTTAAAATCATCTAAACAGTCTCGGTTAAGTTGTCAAAAAAAATTTGCATGCTCAGCAATAGCGTCCAATTGCACACCATTTCTGTCCAATGTGGTACATATTAAATAAATAAAATTTTTAAAATACAACATTTCCATTAAATTTCATACAAGGTTTGTAAATTCTGATTAAATAAGAGCTTGTAATTAAGAAAAAATACTGATGACCAATCAGAACAGATTACAATATGAAACTGCAATGTTTGTTTCACCTAAATAAAACATATTTTAATTCTTATTTTAATTGTGATTTTTGAGGGTTTTTTCAAATAACAAATGAGTCTTAAAACTGTTGTTTTTTTTATGCTATTATATTTTATGTTACATAAGTTTTTCCCCAATACAAAGTTCCTCCATAATTATTTTTCAATAAACAAACTCGGAAAAATAAGTAATTATATTTTCGATGACATTATGCACAGAAATGTTAAGTGCCACAGATGTGTACAGGGGAGCATTTGGTAGTAGACTAATAACAATTTAGTAGACTTGTAACATTTTAAACGATTATTAGACTTGTAACAATTTATTGCACACTTACTATATTCAGGCTCAATAATGTTTGAAAAAATATGACAATTTTTGTGTGTTTAGCTCAATTTGTTTGTTGTACTTAACACTTCTGTGCATAATGCCATCAATTTACTATTTTTCTTTGTAGTGGTTATTTTTTCTCTGATTTTTAGAAATGAACCGTATAATGCAAAAAGGTACCAAGTCTTTTAAATGGAGTTATCACCACAACACTCAGTGCCGTACCGAGTGTTAGTTTGGGCGCTACCGTTTATTTGAATTTTTTCCTCTCCCCAACTTCTTTGATATAGAAGCCTCAATACTAGACCCCATAGAGGAGGGCTGATATGGAGGCTTCCACATCAATAAAGAGAAAAAGTAAATTTAAAATCTTATCGCAATTATTGTTTTTCCATTCGATTAATTTAAATAAAAGTTTTTCTGTAGGGAAATTTTGAATGTAATTCCATTCGATTGCGCGTGCAAATTAAATACTACTTTTAAATGTTGTTTTCCTTTGTACATAACGCTTTGATTTAACTTTGTTATGTTGATATTAAAAATTAGAAAATATTCCTTGAACATTTAATTAAACAAGTATTTTATTCGAAAGTAACTTGGTAACAATACTAGTTTTTTATTAAAATGTGTAGAAGCAAAATATTATCAAATTAAACAATAAGTTAAAGAAATAGTTAAACTTCCTAAACATACATTAAAAAAATTAGTTTTGTAATTATAAGCTTTGTTTTGTCAACAATTTCTGAATATGCGATAAAATAATTGAAAATCTTTTCTAGTCAGCGTGACTTATTTCTAAAAAAAAAAAAGGATAAAATTACGGCTAAAGGCAAAAAATTGTTGTTAGCTGTGCATTTAGTTTTAGAACTGTCATTGTAAGTAATTTTATAAATACAAATGAAAACAAATTGAAAAGAGAGGGCAAATTTTTCTATGAAACAATGTTAGAAATTGCAAATGTTGTAATTTAAGATATGTGCAATTTTTACTTTATGCGCATTAGTTTAGTGGCCCATATCGGTAAAACGGTATGAGATTATGGCTGGGTAGGGCACTGATGTTAGAAAGGAGTTGATAATGAATTTAAAAAAAAAATGAATAAAAACAGAATTAAGAAAAATAATATTGATATTATAATTTTTGACAAAGTTACAGATTTTTAAAGACTTTTAGACTAGAATTGGTTGAAATCAGAATTATTGACAAAACAGCAAAAGAAAATTATTCAGTTTTATAAACTTTATAATTTATGGTAGTGCTATGAGTTAGTAAAAATATTTTTTTCCTTATTACTTCATAATGTGCTCGATAAATTATAAAATAAATTTTTTAATTTATTAGAAAATATTTTCACCAAAAATAATTTTATTAATAATCTTAAAAAGATACCAAGTCTTATCAAAGTACAAAAACGTTTAGTATTATTGTTTATTACTTTTAATTAATATTAGAATCAATGAAACCCTGGTAAACAATAATAATAGATAATTAAAATTTTGTTTGCATTTGACAACTCCTGAAATTTCATTTGCAAATTCAAAGTAATGGCACTGCTTTAATTACAGGGTTGGCATTATAATACCCACCCAAATTCTAATTGTGACAACTATCTTGAAGTTTTTTAACATTGCGTTAAACATTAAAAGGAATATTTGGTTTTGCAAAAATAACATTGATTCCTCACACCACGACCAGCATTTAAAAAATGTTGAAATGTCATTTTCAACTGTTAGAGACATTCTTTTAAATGAAAGAAACAGACTTTTTTTAAACATGTAAATGATTTGGTTCTCTTCTATTGATTTGGTTCTCTGATATGGTATTTGGTGTTAAAGGCATAAAGAGTAACTCAGCAGCTTTTAAACCAAGTTTTATTTTGTTCAATTATATTCGCTGGAAGATTATTATTTTGGGTAAATTTCCCCTATTCCCATTATCATCAATTATAATAATTCATTTCAGTTGGCTTGGCTTTACAAACAAATCATGTTAGAGAAGTTTTGTCTTTGTAATATTTGTTAGAACAACAAATGTTTCTGCTCATCCTTAATCGAACTGTTTTAAGATGTAAGTGATTGATTTGTGATACAATAGCTGTTTTTCAATTTGTGAAAATTTGTGAATATTTACAAAATTTCTTTCAAAAACAAAAAGAGAAAACTTGCAACATGAAAACTAGTCTAAAAAGAAAAAAAAAATCATAGTAAAAAGACGATTCAATCATTTTTTTTTTGTATTTGTTCGTTTAGTTTGCCAAAATTTACCACAAAATCTGAGCAAAGATAAAGTGACTCATTGAGACTGTCAGTTTTGGACAGACACAAACTGATGGTGTGATAGTGTAATGGGTGGACATATATTGATGATGTAATTTGCTTGAATGGACCTTAATTTTGTTTATGCAAATATAAAAGGTAATATCACTTAAGGGGCATAATGGATTAAAAAAAATAGGTTTTTATTGCTAGTTGACTTAACTTTTGTAATCTAACAAGCATTTACATAAAAGAGTAAAATAGGTGAAGATAAATGGAACCTACTCGGCTCAGAGTAAAGTCATATAACGAATGAGTTTATGTTGTCTAATAAATTTATAATGATCTTCACTTAACTCCTAATGTGTTCTTCATTTCTTGATATCATGTTTGTGTTAACAAAAATTTACTAAATAATTACTACAGAATATTTATTCTTGTTTTCTAAATTTAATCTCCTAAATAATTCCATTTAAACTTTATAAAAAAATATCTGAAATGATATCAAAAAATATATTATTCCAGAAATTGAGTCAGCTGTTATAACCTTTTTTGGCTAATTTGAATCAAATAAAACATTGCTGTCGCTATTGTCATCAAACAATGTTAATTTTACAACGACAGAGTACTATTGAATGTGTATATATTATATATGTGTTTTTAATATATATTTGTTTATATTATATATGAGTATATATATCATATATGTTTATACTATATTTGTAATATATATTTTGTAATATATATTTGTAATATATATTTGTATATACATGTTTAGTATGTGTTATTTAGTTGATTTTTCATTTTTTATTTTGAAGCGATTTTCGTACCAGACGCCTGTTCGCTATGGTCAAGTAATTAGGTATGTTTAAATTTTATATACATTTTTGTTATTAAGATTTTTTTCATAACAAATTTTAAAATGAATGATATTATCTTCGGAAACATTTCTCGATTTTGTGCATAAATTTTTTAGATCAAATTTTTAATTTAGATCAATTTTTAATTTAGATTAAATTAAAATTAAGATAAAAATTCGATGAAAAGACAAAAGATTATGAAGAATCAATAGAAGTTTCAATATCTCGTGATTTAGATAAAAAACGCACGCGATTGTATATTTTGTTTTGATTAGCTTCTATTGGGCTGCCAAGCTACGTTAACTGTAATGAAGTGAAGCTATTCTTACCATTATGATGCAAAGCTGTCATCACTACTCAAAAACATTCAAAAAAGTTTTTATTTTAAAGTAAAAAATAAACTTTCTATTGAGGAATAAAAACATTGAGTAAAAATTTGTTAATCTCTTTTTATTTGTATGTAAAATCTCGCACAATTACTCAGTAATTGTAAGACATTTTGTTCTACATACAATTATAAAATATATGTTCTTGGTCTGGTGTTCTTACTGATTTTTTTACCAGGAAGTCTAGCATTTGTTACCGAAATAAATTTTAACATACAAGTCTAAATTATTAATGCATTAATCATGTCACAAGTGCTATTCTGGAATTTTGCTTTTGCAAATTACTGAGTTAAATGATTATAAATTCCGTTAGTTATTTGATACTTTAAATTGGTATGCGACATGCTATATAATTTATACTTTGTGTTTTTGATTATCGTCCTTAGTGCGGTAATTTAAATTTTTATGCCATCGATCACTATGTCGTAAATAAATTCTTCAAAAATGTCTTAAAATATGTAAAAATGTTATTTTTTATTATTTTATGTGTTTTTGGTGTTATGCGCGTAAATTACGTTTATCGAACAATAATTCAAAAATAGATTAAATATTCTGGTAACTGTTTTATAATCATTAAAAAAATGAAAGTTAAAAATGAAAGTTAAGTGTCACATGCCGGTTTTCCAGTATGTCCACGTGTCCTTGTTTCCATTTCATTAGTGTGTTCATCAGAGGTAAGATTATGGGTTAACAATAATTATAGTAGGCCATATTATGAATATTCATCATAATTTTCATAGTTTTAATTTTAAAGTGATAAAATTAACATTCCTGCGTGACTGTGAAACGGTATAAAATATGATTTAGGGAAGAGTGGGGCACCATGAGACATAGTAATTGTGGAGGCATCATAAGAGTTGTGACTAACACTTTTATATAAACCATTTTCATATATATACATACTTTCTTAAACTTTCTTATACAGTTGCTACTAGAGCTATGTTTAGAAAAAAATATATCATTTGGTATTATTTTTTTTTATGACAAAATTAATTATAAGTTTTCCAAATATGGAATAGCGCGGACCAAAATTTTGAGCTCAAAATACAAAAAATTTTAGTACGATAAAGTCGTTAAAATCCTTCAAGTTTGAAATTAATAAAAATTTTATTATATCTAAAAGATATTTAAATTTTTCAAAGCGTCAACACATCAAGGAATTTTTCCTGGTCAATTGAAAATCGCAAAAATTACACCAATTTTTAAAAAAGGTGATAACTAATAATAGAAACTATCGACCTAGTTCTGGGTTATCTATATTTTCGAAAATTTTAGAAAAAATAATGTATATAGTATGTTTGCGGTACGATATGGTATGTTTGCGGACGACACGAACCTATTTTTTTCTAATAATGATATTTGTAAACTTTTTCTACAATGAATGACGAGCTTAAAAATATTTCTACTTGGTTCAAATGTAATAAATTAACTATAAACATATATTTAACTAAATATATTATTTTCCCTTCGCTTAAAAAAAGTGTTATCTACTCATAAAACTGCCTCCAAATTTTATCGACCAAATTGAGATTAAAAGAGACTGTTTTACAAAGTTCTTAGGAGTTTTCCTGGATGAACACATTACATGGAAATATCACATTGATTACATTTATACCCAAATTTCTAAAAAATTTGGAAATAGGTATAAAACCAAAGATTATTTAGATCAAAAGAGTTTGCCTCAACTTTTATACTCGTTTATCCATAACTATATATTTGATGTAAATATTGCCTGGGGAAGTACTATTAAAAATAGATTAAAACGTCTTAGTAACCGTCAGAAGTACGCAGTTCGTATTATTAATTTATGCGGATCGTCTTACTCATCCGAAACCTTTATTCAATGAAATGAGATTACTTAATATATATGAATTAAATTTATTCAACATTTTATGTTTTGTATGTATGTGGAAAAATAATTTAGTTCCCAACGTTTTTAAAAATATCTTTACTTTGAAACCTGTCAATAAATATATCCTAAGAAATAATAATTTGCTAAACCAAACTTTTTGTCGAATTAAATTTAATCAATTTGTATTCATTATCGTGCACCATGTCTTTGGAATAAGGTTATTTTGCAAAATTTTGGTTCGCCTTCTTCTTACCCTGTTTTTAAAGCTAAACTTAAAAGTTTTATTCTTTCCATGGACAACGTAATCATGTACTACTAATAGTAACATTTTGAAATAGTTAACATTCTTTAATTACGAAGCAAATTATTTTTGTTTATATAAGGTCATTTTACTTTATTAATATGTATATTTTTGTATTAGTCTATATACTTTATAATGTTTATTTCCTTTAATCATTGTAAGAAGATTAATCATTTTTTTTATCTGGTTATTGTAAAAAATTTATTGATGCATTAAAAATACGGATTATTTAAGGTTGATGATATTTCAAATTGTGAAAAATACAGACCAATTTCAATTCTCCCTTGCTTCTCAAAAATCTTAGAGCGAATTATGTATAATCGGATTTTGAATTTTTTAAATACAAATAATATTTTATATAATAAACAATTTGGATTTCAGCCAGGTAATTAAACTGACCATGCCATTATTAATATTGTTCATGATATATTTAAAGCATTTGACAAGAAAAAGTTTACTCTTGGAGTTTTTATAGATCTTAGCAAAGCTTTTGATACAGTAGTTTTGATATTTCGAGTTTTTTTATAATATTCTTATAAAAAAACTCGAAAGTTATGGTATTAAAAGCACATATTTAGATTGGTTCATAAGTTATCTAAACAATAGAAAACAATACATATCATACGAAGAAGGAAAATCTTCCTATATGACAATAAATTGCGGTGTTCCCCAAGGTTCAATTCTGGGTCCTCTTTTATTTCTTATTTATGTAAACGATTTTCATAAGTTTTCAAACATTTTAAACTCTGTTTTATTTGCAGATGACACGAATTTATTTTACTGTAATGGAGATATTAAACTTTTATTTAAAATAGTAAACAAAGAACTTTTAAATCTAGCGGAATGGTTCAAGGCGAACAAATTGTCCTTAAATTTAAATAAAACTAAGTATACTTTTTTTTATAGAGTTCACGATAAAGAAAACATTCCACTAAAACTTCCTAATCTTTATATTGGCAACTCTAAAATAATTAGAGAGCCATCAATAAAATTTTTAGGAGTGATACTTGATGAAAACTTAACATGGAGAGAACACATAAGTACAATAGAAAATAAAGTTTAAAAAAATATTGGTATACTATTCAAAGCCAAGCAGTTTTTAAACCAAAACTGCCTAAAAATTTTATATTTCTCCCTCATACATTGTTATATAAACTATGCAAACATTGCCTGGTGCAGCTCTAATATAAGTAAAATTAAAAAACTGCTTAGTAAACAAAAACATGCTGTCAGAATTATTTCAAATGCAGGATTCACACATACTAAAGAACTATTTAATAATCTTCACATACTCAATGTTTTTCAGTTAAACCTTTATCAAATTCTTATTTTTATGTACAAACTTCATAATAAAATATCACCTATAATATTTAGTACACTTTTCAATAAAATTAATCACATGTACCCTACAAGATTTTCTAAGTACAATTATGAGCAACCTAAAATGCATTATTTGGCTCACAAGTTTTCTATTGCTATAAGAGGTCCTAAATTATGGAACGCTTTATTAAGGTGGTACACCCCCATTCTAAAAAATTTCTTTAAAATAATCTATATAAAATTAAAACTACATTACACAAGTTTAAAAAAGTATGGTGATTATTTTTTTTTAAATGAAATCTTGATCGCCCAACTTTTGCCTCACTTATTCCATAAAAATTGCCAAAATATGGGTGTAATTTAAAACAAGATATCTCCAGTTCTATATATCCTTTCACTCTGAAATTTTCACATTATGTTCCTAAAAGGTACAAAGAGGTTATGAACCAAAATCATGCATTAAAGATGCATAGAACATTTTAAAAGTAATTTTCTATAAATTTAAGAAAATTTTTAACAAAAAAAAAAAAGAAAAAAAGATTTTAAACATACTTATACATGATATTTATTTGTAATTTTGGTTCATTACCTAAGTCAATTTATAACAAAAGCACCCTGAAAATTTCAAGTCAGCATATGGTTCCAAACTGAAAATATTGCGTTTTAAAATTTAGGTATTAGGTAAAAATGACGTTTTGAGAAAAACACAAAAAACAAAATAAAAAATTGTTATATTAGGAAAAAAAGTACAAGCTCAATTAAAAACCTCCACTATTATATTGTGGGTCCTTTTCCAGTTCTTTTTCAATATCTATGTAACCTTTTTTAATGGCTCTAAGCTGTTTTCTCCTTAATTTACCTTTAGCACTTGATTTGTGATTCATTTTTTTAATTCGGATGAGGTCCAATTTATGAAGTCCTTCTTGCATAAACATACTTGGTTCAATACCTCCAGCACTAATTACTTTTTCAACTGCTGTGCTTCAATCATTAAATGCTATAATAGCTGAGTTAATACTTATCTCAAAAACTTTTTTCCCAACAAAAAAATCTTTAGGACATCTTTTCCATATTGAGGCATTCAGACTTTCATTGTTATTTTGAGTTTGTCCGCGCAAACATTTTGATAACAATGTTTCATTTGTCAAATCTGTAAATATAGGCATAAGTACTGCTTTAATTGCTAATGGTAAGCTTAATTTGGTTTTGTATGTTGTTTCACCAGTTACTTTATTACTCTGCCACAAACACCAACTAGTTCTAGTTCGTGGGCAAAATTTGTGTCTCTCTGACTCTTCACTTATGTCACTGTTGTGAAATAAAACAGCCCAAGCAGCTTTTTTCATTGCATAAAGGTTATTCCCATTTTGACGGATAGCCATACCAAAAAAATTTTGAAGGATATTTATGGCTTTATCTGTCAGACGACCTTTTCCATTTATTCTTTTTCTGTCTGAAAGAAACTGACCTTTAAGTGTAACTCTAAGGTTACGCGCACGATTTCCAAGTCTCTTTTGGTAATGTCCAACACAATAAAGTGTGTTTATTTCAAAACCTGGATATGGATTACTTGCAACAACATCATTATATGCTGAGCTGTCACCGTCTCCAATATAGCCTTCATATCTCAAACTATGCTTTTCAATAGACCGTTGAAAAATTGAAACAGCACCAGAAGCTT